GTAAGTAAGTAAGTAAGTAAGTAAGTAAGTAAGTAAGTAAGTAAGTAAGTAAGTAAGTAAGTAAGTAAGTAAGTAAGTAAGTAAGTAAGTAAGTACCCATTGATCATCCTTGTAATCTTTTCCGTCTGCGGCATGCGTCTTAACCCAACCGACGTAATGTCCGCCCTGTAGGGAGCGTCCTTTGTGGCTAACGACACCGCATAACTCGTATTGCCCAGTGTTGAAATCCTTCTTCGGAACTGTCGGATCCTCGACTTCCATTGGTTCTGTGTTGGAGGAAGAGAATTGAGCTTGAGGATAATGATAAAGTGGAAGATTCGATTTCGAAAGTCATTGCTACTTGGAGGAAAAGGAACCAATGCTGGCAATAACTTCTTTTCTGGGCGGGTTATTTCTATTAAGAGAGTAGAGGAGTGCTGTACCTGAAAGTACTAGTAGTACTAGTAGTACTAGGAGAGATAGAGATAGAACTAGAAGTGTTATTAGTACGTATTTCGCTTTCGTCCTTTCCAAAATCAGCTATCTTTTTTGCTTCTGCTTCCGTTTCTAATTCGCGCTTTTCCCGGAGTTTCAGTCTGCCCACTCCCAACTCCTTTTGTAGTTCTGGCGTGGCGTAATCATACACGTCCAATGACGCTGAAAAGGCGCATTTTCGGACCATTTTCACCGCTGAAGCTTCTGTGCCGCCAAGGGCACTCGCTTGCTTATAGCCAAACCGCGCGAATTGGACCCAGAGATACTGAGGCAAAGTCGCCATACAAGTACTCTTCTCGTACTGAGCTATTCGACCTGGGGAGTTGGAGTTGAAGGACCACGTGGGAAGGCCGTAAAACTCAAAATTGGCAAGAATTGAAAAAAAGGAAACTAATATGGCTGTTCTTGTAGCTCTAGTACTACGTACCTTGCTTGTGCAACATGTGCTGCGACGAACAACAACAAACAACACCAAACATCAAAATCAGTATTACCTAGACTCGGTGAGCTTTTCTCCAAGTGTTCCTTGAGCGAGTGTTTTATGCCCTCGTGCATGTGCGACACCGGTTCTGTGGTAGACCCCATATGACAGACGAAGAAACGGTAGCTTTCTTCTCTTTCATCCGGCACCTCGTCTTCCACTTCTAGACACTTATACTTGGACTTCATTTTGAACCCGAAGTATTTGTCCACTGCGTTTGTGCCGTCTTTTTGCGTGGCATTGGCAATAACGGAGAACATCTCACGGAGGCATTCTTCCGCATCCTGCTGTTGATACGATGGCGGATTGCCAGTAGTTGCGCCAAACTGCGGAAACCGCGTTCTAAGAGTCTGCACAAACTGGAAAGGCGTAACCGTATCCGTTGTGCTGTCCAGGGAGTCCAAAAAAACGCGGAGGGAAGGGATTAGAGGGGTAGTAGAAGGGGTACTACTAGAAAGGTGGGTAGATGAAGGGATTTTGTATTATTTGTTGACCATACAGTTCAAGTTTTTGTTCGGTAAGAACACTATGAAGTTGAAGTCCTTCCGAGTCTCTATATTCTCTTGGGTAGTCTGCATTTCATTGGAGATGAAAATGAATTCCCTTTGGGTCATAAATTTGTAAATCCCGCATCAGTGGCTGAACCACCTCCCATGCCCATCATTGCTGCAAAATCGTTCGCCTGTCCTCCATTTGACGTTGAGGAGCTTGCGCCACCACCACTAGTGGGGACTAACGCAGATCGAAACTCTGGACATGTCTTCAAAACTTGCACCACAGAGTTCATGTAACAAGTGTTCCCCAGGTTCTTCAAACCACAGGGGAGCACTTCCTGTGAAAGTTGTTGTTGTTTTGGAAGAGAATCCAGAATCTTCTGAGTAGATCTTGTTGTTGTTCTTGCCAAAAATAAAAATTACAACGACAGTCCTCTGAGGAACAATATCATCTTCAAAAGATGCTGCAATAGAAGATACCACTTTCTTCTCCTTTAAAATCTTTGCTCTCTCCTCAGCAGTTAAATCTTCCATGAAGACTGTCTTTTCTGCCGGTGCATGTACCTCTCCGCCTTCTGCTGTGCCGATCTGTGGTTGGTATGGGTTGTGTAGTGGGTCGGTAATATGCAGATGCAGATGTAGTTGATGTTGCACTATTTTTCTGTCGATGACTACAATTATCTCGATCACAATCCTCAAGCAGGAGTACCAACTGAATCTTCGCATTTGGCTTCAGCTTCTTGATTTTTTCGATCAAGTTGTCGCTTTCCTTCAGTAGGCCGCCAGCAAAGCCGAGAAATTTCATGCGATCGACTGGGACCTGGGATAGAATGTTGGACGAGAAGTAGTTGGAAGATTGTTTATTTGCGACTGGGACCTGGGATAGAATGTTGGACGAGAAGTAGTTGACACAAGATATTTAATTTCAGTGGAGGTATTGAAAGTGACAGAAAGTGGAGTCCTAGGAGTACATTGGTCATCGAGTAAACGAGCGACTTGAAGTCTTCGACAGAGAGGCCGTCCGCCACGTCCACCTCGAGCTCCTTTTTCCCCCATTTAATTGGCAGCTTCATGTTGACCATAATCTTCTAAGGAGGGTGTAAGAGTAAGAGTAAAAAGTCAGGCTAACACAATGTCTAAGACCAACTGAATGTCGCTAGGTCTAAGGATATCTTCAAGAGCAACTGCTTTGAGTCGTCACTAAAACTACCACGCACCTGCTCATGAAGAATGTTAATGTAGTTTGTCGTTTGTACATGATCTCCAACTAGTCTTGGTGTAGTTTCTTCGTAAAAGGTTGAGATTCTGCATCCTCAACATCTATCTCTCATTTTCGTTTTGGTGCACTAAATATTTGTTCATTTACCCGAATCATTTCCTCACGTCTATCGTTGGTGCTGCAGCTTCATTGTGATTGTGAACAGCGATCAAATCATATGTTGATGGTCATGTGCCACCACACAGCCACGGATGGTCATCGGGCGCATCAGTAGAGTTGGAGTTGTAGGTAGAAGTCCTTCGAATATTATAAGGGATCGATCATCGCGGGGATTCAGGTCGTGATATTTAGCTGTTTTTCTTCGTCTTGTGCATTTCCTGCTTATGATCAAGAAGATGAATATGAGCGCAATGATATACGGAAAATGGTCAAAAAGATGCTGGTCATCATTCTCATTCATGATTTTGTTCATTCGGTATGCTGTCGTGCCGGCGCACGATGTTTACGCCAAAATAATCAGCCGAGAAGCCTCCTCACTTCATTGGGTCAAGCATGATTCCCAGGGTAACTTTGTCGTGCCCCACTTCCCGCAGAAGGATTAGAAGTGCTTTTCGTGACCATAGTTCATACAGGTCTACCAAGCGTTCCTGTAGTACTTTTCTACTCAGTAGAAGAGTCGTGGAAAGGAATCTTCACACGAGGGATATCATTAACCAACTCCAACGTGGTAAGAGAGTTTAACACAGTGGTCACAGCAATTCACCAGCCATAAAATCAAGTCCCTTAAGCGTGCTCGTATTGGTTCCTCTTCCGTATGGTGGTGGTAGAAAAGCGCCATAAACTTCGTCTTCCAGTTTACGGTAGTGCAGGAATTGAATTCTTGCCACCTCTTGGCCTTCACAAAATTCACCGTCCAACTTCGGTTAGGCACGGATTCTTTCTGTTTTTAGTTGTATCTTCACGATGAGGGTTTGATGAAATATCATGCAAGTCATATCGAAGTCTTTGAGGTCGTGGAGGTAATTGATGTTGAACAAGTACAAGACTATGCCGTAGATAGAACAAGTAATTGAATTAGATGTTTACACAAAAGCTAAATACGGTAAGAATATTTGTTGCTACACCGCCCAACTTGCGTCCCGTCTGGAAGTCCCACAACCTTTTCAGAGAGGTCAAAGCGTCTTTGGCAGGATCTGGGTTCCACGATTCGAGATCCGCGAAAAGATACCGATCAACCCAGCTACAACGCAGCGTCTCATCCGATGTGTAGAGAGTGACGCCGCGAATGTACCTGAGATAAAAAAGTTCGTGTAGTAGGGTCATTTGTTCAACAACAAAATTTGTTGTAGGTGTGCGCCGTGTCGTGTCTCCGAAACGACCCGCCAATGATGTAGAAGTGTCAACTACATAGATATTCTCATTCTGATGTTTTTGTTCATTTACTGTTTACTCCATAAATACAAGGTCTTCATCTTGGACACCACTGGACTCTTCTTCGTCTTTCCAAAATAGTCAGTCTCATGGGCTTAACAATAGAATACGGCGTCCCTTCGATATCGAAATGATTGGAGAAGAAGTCTGGACATTGAGATGCCATTTTCGTATCGACGTCCCGCATTGACAGGTTTGCCCCAAAGTCTAAGAATCTTGCTATTTTTCGTAGCAAAACGGTCTTTAATTTCCTCTGATCGACGCGCACAGCAGCGCAGAAATCCTTGCAGACACACCGCATATTCAGCAAGCTGTAAACGTCCAAAAACTGGCATGCCATGTGGAAAATGTTGTCCCTGGATCAAGTTTGTGCGTGGGAGATGGAGAAATTGAACTCTCCTGTTCCTGTTGGCCATGAAAATGTGAGTGTGTGGAAGATGAAATTGAAGTTCTTTCATATTCGAAAAACTGAAATAACCGAGTAACTATTGAAAATAAGGGAGATACTGAAAGAAGAGGAATGTAGTCAAGCCTCTCTACAAAAAGTGAAATACTTGCTCTTATCAACATTCTCCTTCAAATGCTGCTGTAAATCCGTTTCCATGCGCCGATCGGCCTCCCAATCTCGTTTGGCGTGGTAGTCCCTATACATCTGATCAGTCGTGGGTGCAATTTTCCGCACTTTTGGAAGTCTGCTGGAAGCGGAATTTCCTGCATTAGGGTCCCTCTGAGACGACTGCGACAGCATTTCCCGAATACTTGTAGCTGGTTTCGCACCAGGCGCAGCTTTGCTCTTCATTAGAAGATGGGACTTCCGATTTTTCCGTCTAGGTTACTTTGACACTATGGAGATCACAAAAAGAAGTACATACAAGTACTAGTAGGTGTAGGACCTCCTCCTAGTGCGCGCTAGTAGGTGTAGGACCTCCTACTAGCAGGTGTAGGACCTCCTCCTATTTCCCTAATAATTCACAGACAACTCAACTTAACTTCCCAGCTGCATTTGGAGCTTTACGTTTGTTGCTACTCTTTGCCTTCGCTTTCGGTGCTTTTGATGACGTGGCGGCGGCTTCACCTCCTACTTTCAATGTAGAAGATGTGGCTCCGCCAGCTGCTGGACCAGTCGCGGTGGAAGACGTTGCGGCTGCTGCTGCTCCATCTCCTCCCACTTCTGTTGAAGATGCTACTAGAGGACCAGAAGGTACTGGCACTTGCAGCGATGCGTTACTTGTAGTTTCCTTAATGGAGGGATTCGGGTCAAGGCAAACTGATGGATCCACGACTCGAGCTCCGTCTGCGACGAAAGCTGAACTCGTCGCGCCCTCAGGAGCTACACCCGGCGCACTGCCCCTCGACGACGCCGGCATTGTGAAAATTGGATTAAAAAAACCTTGTAGAAGTTGAAATTCTCAAAATATTAGGTCAGCATGGGATTTATCTTCAATCCTTTTTCTCGATTTTTCTGGATGCAAAATCATCCGAGTCCTATTCTTGAAGTGGTCGCGTCGATTTTTAACACAGAAGATCTTCTGAAAAGATAACTAGAAGATGCCCTGCAAAGGCTTTCACGCCGACTAGAGTTCTTCCAGAATCAGCCTCTTTCATGAAATACTTGATTCTTTATGGTGACCGTAGTACGGTCATACCTTGATGATAAAAACATAGATGAAAACGTGGTGGTCGTGTGTCTTCAATGAATGCATCCGTTTTCATTTTTTTTTCAATTTGCGTCTTCAATCATCTGGTTCATCTGCAAAAGAGTACTGTTCTCAAACATTATTTCGCAATCAAATAAGTACTTCGTACAGTTGTGCAGAGACTTTTCATCAACTGACTGTATGAGTCTTGGCGGATCACCCGCTCTGCGGGTTTGGGAAGGTGTTGCACCATGCGATCCAATAGGTCAGTCCTCGAGAACGCCGGTGCCAGCATTGTAATTATCACCGGAACAAGGAATTGCGCCCACAACAATGCAAGTTTTTCATAGTCGATCAAAGCCGCCGCCTCCTTTAGACCTTACTTTTATTCATCTTGGAAAGCATCTTTGACGCAGTTCCCTCTTGAAAAAGGGATCAAAGATGCCTCTTAAGATGAATAAAAGTAAGTCTTAACTCCTGCATCAACTTTTGTTCTTTGATTAGAGATAGAAGTAGCGACTAAACTCTGAAGTAGTACTTACCCGAAAGAAGATTTTCTGTGTTAGCGATCGAAGTAATGTGACGATGCTGGATGCTGTTCCTGGGTTGGTCAACTAGTAACCGTTCTGAGCAACTAGTAACGGTAACAGTAACAGTTGTAACTGTAAGTAGAAGCCTAGAATATTAGACTCCTGCATATGATGTAGCCGTAATCTATGGGTGAGCAATTTTGGCGCGTCCGTTCGAGTCGTCCAACTTTGGGAAAATTGAGCATCCCACGTCTCTAGGCCGCCCTGCCAAAGTCTAAGCTCTATTTAAAAGCGATGAAGACACCCAGACAAGAACTAGTTCCGTGGACTTCGTGGATCTGAACTTAGATCCGGATCATCTGGATGATAGACCACTGCAGTCGACAAAACTACAGACTCGGAGACAGATCTGGAAACATGAATGCGCGAGCGCGAATTGAGATCTATATTTCCTCGCGAGAAAATCGTTCACCTACAGGAGAAAACCGATACTGAAGGACCAGATTTTGTGGATCTGGATAAAAAAATAGTTGCTTTTCATCAGAAGATTGTACAACGTAGTTTCTGATTTAGTGGCTCGACGTCGACCACGACAACTATATAATCTGTTCCCTGATCCTTGTTTCTTGTTCTTGTCCTGATCATCATCATACTACAGGTCGTTTTTTTTGGTCGTGGGGTGGTGCTAACAAAAAAGTTCTCTTGTTCAATATTACATTTACAACAGTTGCTATTTATCATCGGCGCTTGTTTTGATTTAGAATTACTAGTCCTTTTCTAGTATACCCTTACCCATACGTCATCGTAACCCTTTAGTGGCCATACAACATCGTGCGAATGCGAAAGTGTTGCTCATCTAATTGATAAAAAGACAGAAAACAAAGTTCGTAAATGCTCACATTTGAAAGTTAAACAATTTTGACCTGAAGATCCCAGCTCTTGTTCGTGGCTTATAACCTCAACAATCGAAAAATTTGACAATTAAATAATATTGGCTGGCTTCAAAGGCCTAGCGACAGGGCCAGAGACTTGTATTATTTAAGGACACGAATAGTACAAATTTTGTTTTCATCTTCTACTTATTTAGCTACGAAAAACTGCGTTCTTTACATCACACAACAAAAATAGCGTTTATTTGTTCTGCGTCATTAGTGAAAAATGACTATTTTCTCTTCCGACTACAAATTTATCTTGACAATTCATTGTTGAAAACTAGTTCCAGCACAAGCTCAGTTAATTGATTGCAAATAGGACATAGCGGCCATAGCGTAATCAACAGCATGCTTCTAATTATTTGCGAGATCATGATTTCCTACTTGGATTTAAGGATGCCTTACAGATGCGACCATCTTCAACCTATAACGTACCATTCTCCTCGTCCTCAATCCCCTGATAATTCTCTTATCGCAGCACTTCCGCATCTGGTTCCTCGTGTTCGTGGATAGCGATTTCTTCGAGGTCGACGTCGGTCCCACGAGCCCCCTCATCCGGGACGTCCTCATCGTGGTAGCTCATGTTGTTGCCACCTGGACCACCAACGGTCGTTCTGAAATTAGTCATGGACGTGGAAGTCTAAGGATCAATGCAATTTTTTCCCCTAACATTCTAATCAAATCTCGATAATCAGACCCAGAAGTGAGTGAAGTTCATCACGATCATCGCATAATATTTGCCGTGGGACTTGCTCCACTGCCTACCGTTCCACCAATGTTGCTTGGTGGCGCCGTCGATGTCGTTGACATACCACCAAGGTTGTGGATGATGCGTTAGAGGTCGAACGTATCTACTACCATCATTCCAGCACATCAACTACATTATCAACATCAAATACAAAAGTACTAGTCCTACAACCGCTACCCTTGCCCAAAGGCTCACGCTCATACCCATCTAATTCTAAAATGACAACTCTTATACTAGAATAAATAAAATGACATATACTAGAATACCCATCTAATAAAATGACATATACTTTTTCAACATAACTCTTACTTCCCGCGCCGGCCTTCAAGTGCGCAAATTTGCCACTGTCTACCATCTTGTTATAAGCTTCGTACAACAGCGCAAACTGATCCCAGTTGATGTATAACTCCTCCACAATCGTCGATGGATCCTCGATCCCCTTTTCGAAAAAGTCAAGACCGTCTGGGATTAGAAGGAGACGGTCTCTACACGTAGAGTAACGCTAAGAACAACAACAAGGGAGTTTTGGCACTTTGTATACATAGCTTTTTTTGATACAACTCCGTGTTTATTGAAATTTATGATCGAGTCACTTGTTGAGCGAGAGCGTCAAGATTCTTGACGCTCTCGCTACCTTAGACGTTGAGGTCGTTCTTAGAACGACCTCAACGTCTTTCGCAATCAGAAAAAACAATTACAATAAGATGGTCCCAACATCAACAACATAAGAGAAGCATGTTCAATTCAGACGTGGACAGCTGAGGGCTGGCGCCAGCTTCCTGCAAAGCTCCTTGGATTCGACGGTAGAATAAAATGCGTCCACGCTCGTCGACCTGAATGTAATTCTTCCATTCAACATCTTCACCTCCGTATTGACAGAAACAGAATCACAATGTTGACCTAACTGCCGTAACTGTAACAGCTGGAGCTGGTGTGAAACAAATTTAATTAGTACCCTAACTGTAACTGTAATACCTACAGTAACTGTAACACTAACAGCTGTGAAACAAACTAGTACCTGGTACTCGCATGATCATGGTGCGTCGAAAACGCTGCACTAAACAACGTGAATAAGTACCATTGTCGCATGCGTCGAAAATGCGCGATATAGTTCCGGACTCTCAGCATAGAATCGCAATTCCCGAGCCACTAGAAGTAGGGAATTGATGACCAGTAGCGTTCCGAGAAGGATGGACAGTGTTGCAAAAGCAGTCTCCGAAGTTGTCGAGAAGAGGTGTAATGCCATCCAGAAGTAAAAGGGACAGGAATTAGAAGAAGCAGTAGTTCTAGTTGCTGTTGATAAAGTGGTAATTTTAGTTTGTCATGATTGAATCGAAAAATTGAGTAAGTAACCTGGGGGGCCTTGGAATTGGCAGGCTGGTAGAATATCAAGAATGAAGGTAAAAAGACATCAAGTTAGTGCTTTAACATGCCACAGTTGTGCCGGCTTGCGGTAGAAAATGAAGCAAAGCCACATACTAAAGCCGAGACGGAGGCACGCATCAACAAATTTCTGCGGACCGGTTCCACCCTTGGGCGAGGCCTGAACAGTGGTTTGGGCGGAAGTTATTTTAGTACTTGGTGAGCAGATCTTCAGAATCTTTCTTGCTCAACCATTGTATAGAAGACCTGAATCTTCAGAAGACCATGGTACTGAATCGAACAACCAACGCTAGCAGTAAGGTTCAGAAGATCATGGTACTGAATCGAACAACCAACGCTAGCACCAGTAAGGAATTAAGTACTCGAAAAACTGAAATAAGCGAGTAACTGATCAGAATAACCGAGATACTGATGAGAGGGAAAGGTAGCCCTGACGTTAAGCTACCTCCCTTATTTCAGTCAGTAACTCGGTTATTTTGAGTTTTCGAACCCCATAAATCGAACAACCAACGCTAGCACCAGTAAGGAGTTATAAGTACCTAAAAGTTGTAAAGATAAAGTACCTCCCTATTGAGAGTGAAGAAGAGGTGAAAGATTGCGCACACGCACGTTGAGTAGGTGAGGTAGACGGACAAGATTAGAGGTGCCCTCTATTCATCTTGAAGCGCATCTTTCTTTGACCTCTTTTCTTTCCCCCTGAAACCGTTTGAAAGATGCTTCTTAAGATGAATTTGGGGAAGCCTTAACAAGTCGTGGTGTAGAATGCGATAAAATCGCTCGCCACGTCGCTCCACCTGAAATTCTCGAATTTTCTCCACGATCCGACTTTTGAAGCCGTTTGAGATGATGCTGCCACTCCGGGAGCTCTTCATAGACGGCTTTTCGGTCAGAGTGTCGAAGCCAGCGGGAGGAATGAAGAAGGACGAGGGGATGGGGAGAAGGACTAGGAGATAATTCAACCAGTTTTGTAGGTATATTTCTCGGCTTTTTGAATCTACGTGGAGCTGAAAGAACTACCTGAAAATAAAATTCGAATTAGTTTTCGTAACAACTGGTTGTAGGTCTATCAAGAAAGTCGTGGTCTATTGAAGATGCATGTCTCAACTACAACTTAGTGTTAACTGACGAGATAAACTGTCTTCATAAGAGCTCCGCCATTTTCTGTTGTGGTGCTGGCGCCGGAAGGCCTATAAAGCTCCAACCTCGGATCGTTTGCCGAAAGGGATGGCATTTTCTTATTTTTCGTTGCTCTAGATGAGATTAAGGAGACCGTAGTCGTGCTATCCGGATAAATAGTTCTGCTTTACTATTGTAGCTTCATTTCAACTAGTATTTTTGGGAGCGATACCGAAAGGTGATGTCAGAAAAACAAATATTTCTGAATTCGCCATCCACCACACACTTATCTCTCAATCTCAAAACTAAGTAAGTACTCAAAATGCATGAAGCTAACCCCCACAGAGACACTCCCAGAAAATGCGCATTTTGTTTGACGAATAGAAACGAGCACTTAACAACTTTTGGAATCCAGGTTTCATTCACTCTACCGCAGCCTAATCTGATCACCGTTTTTCGGTAGTACACTATGACTTTTTTCCGATGTCTCTCAAATATTTTTCGTCCTTGCTTTGCCGACCGCTCTTGTCGATGTTGAAACATCTAAGAACATGCGACTTGGGACATCAAACCAGTTTTTGACTTTCTGTGCTGTATCACTTCTTTCCTTTTTTTCAGTCTCATTACCAAGTACTAAGTTCTTGGAACATCGTTAATAAGGGTCTTTGCACCTGCACATGCAGTTCGAAGTAGAAGTAGGAATGAGCTACATAGTCATCAACAGGTAATGTTGAGGTACATCTATTCAAAAGCGCCACGCCGAATAAGCGCTGTAGTATTGAAAAAGTGTTTTTTAAAAAACCAGAAAACTACAACAAGGGAAAGGGTAAGAGCATATCTGCTTAGTTGATCTTCACCCTTTCACGCACCAATTCTCCCTCTATGGGGTCTAAACTCGCTAAGCGCCATGCGTGAACTGCTTCCCTTGCTTGTCCCGGACGACGCACCCGCCCAATCGCTTGTGCTTCCACTGCGCGCACCTCTGAAAGGGACGGCAGCGAAAGCGGATGCACGAAAACGACATCATTCGCCAAAAGCAAGCGCAAACCTGAAGCAGTGAAAGAGCCAGGCCCGAAAATCTCTGGGATATGGAGAACACTAAGCAACTCGCAAAATATCCCAGGTAGGTGGTTGCTATTCTGTCACCTGACTCAAAGGCCGGCCCTGCACACGAAAGTTGGCCAGTTTATGACTTCAGTGGTGTCATTGTAGGAGGTCACTGAGTGGAGCCGCGCCATATTTGGGCACGCTCCTACTTTCTCAAGTCTCTCCACTTTGTTACTCTTATCCCTTTCGGCTCTCGTTCTCGTTATGGCGAACGGAGTACTTTGCTCAGCCGGACAGAGATGACTGACTTCCCCTTGTCGTCATGCGTCCCCTCCTACTCTGTTCGGCCATGAGAACGTTGGAAAATATTTAATTATAGACTGGTTACCTCTTATTTTGTAGTACTGCTTTATTTGAAAACTTGACTTTTATTACACGGGAAATTTATGAATTTGCTCGACTTACTTGTTTGTTTCGCTCATGGAAAACTTTGACTTAATTATTGCAGGACGGCCGTATTTACTTGCTTGGTTGTTCATTTATTTCGTAACTCAATACTTTTCTTACTCGGTGAAACAGTCAATGCTTTCCTTAATTATTTCAGTCTTTCAACCTTTTTCACTTTTCTACTACTCAGCAGGTGAGTAGTTTGAGTTTCTTGCTTTAATTAATTACTTCGGTGCACTTCCACTCTGTGTTAATTCCTCATCTTGTGAAACCGCTTAGATCGCGCTGCTCGTTTCGTACGCGGCTACCATTACCACTAGCGCTATCCCTTGCCGCTTCTCCTGTTTTTCCCTTTTTGCTTTCGGCTTATTCAGCTGCATTAATGGCGTCAACCTGGAGAAGTTTTAAGTTAACTGTAACGGCCCACGCCTAAACTCAACACCGCGACAGATCTCACTTAAGGCGTTCCTTCGATTCTTAGCAGATTCAAGAGGGAGGGTTTACACTTCTCCCGTATTGGTCAGCTCTTTGATGTACGCGCTACATATAGCAATACGCTTCAGGCGAGCAACTGATGGAGCAACTAATAGCTGCTCCATCATGTTTGTTATTCTTATCGTCGCTAACGTATACGCTATTTCCTTTTGAGAGCGAAGTATTAATGCTCAGTGGCCCTTTTTCGCATTATTTCATCTTTGCCCAATGTTGCAATTATTTTTCATAGAAGTACACAAAGAAAATAGCAATAGCGGAAGTTTGTTGAATCATAAAACAAGTGGATCTAGTTATGTCTTTCCGAAAGAGCAGGAAATTCGTCCTTCTTACTCGATTTGTGCGATACAATCTTTCACATCAATAACAAGAAGTGCTAGTGCTTGCCCGCCGTTTCAAGATCCTCCAACTCCATACATAAAAGATATAAACAACATCCATGGATACAACGCATGCGTATCTTCATATGGGAATTTTTTCAAAACTACTTACGCATCTTCAACGTCATTCATCAGCTAAGCTTCCATTTACGACGAAGAAAAACCATAAACAAGCAAAATAAACCATACCCGTCTCCATTTTTTAAAAACGTTATCATCTAGTAGACGTCAGCGTCACACTCAGTTGTAGTACAATTCGTTCTGATACTACTAGATATCGATACTCATTCGCCGTTTTCCTGCCCTTTTCAGCAGCAACCTTTGCTGCCCTTGTTGGGTTGCGCACCCGCTCCTTGTACCGGAGCAGCCGACGCATCCGCTGCATTCGACGTCCCCTGTTGAGGCGCCGACGGTACAGGACTCACGGCCGCCGGCGATCCTGGACGCGCAGGGGGTTGGCCCGAAGAATCCGTCGCAGGCGAACCAGGGGAATCCACTGGAGCCGAACCGGAAGATCCCGTTGTAACCGGTGCCGGAGAGCCAGTAAGTACAGGAGTATGCGTTGGGGATCGGCGGCGAACGAACGATCCACCTGGACGCGTAGAAGCCGTCGCAGGCGAATCAGGGGGACGCACTGGAGCCGAACCGGAAGAACCCGTTGTTGTAACCGGTGCCGGAGAGCCAGTAAGTACAGGAGTACGTCCTGGACCCGTAGCGGGTTGGACCGAAGAATCCGTCGCAGGCGGAGCCACTGACTGCCATAGCGAAGGTCGATCATCCTCGTCTGGCTCGTGGATGCAGCACTCTCTTCGCAAAACCTGACGGAACGCAGCCCCTAACTCTGTCATCTCGTCTGGTGCTTTCTCGCTTCTACTAGCTATAAGGGCTGATTTCGCGTCTTGGACACTCTTCTGCTTAACTTCCCGCGTCGGCTCAAATTTGCGCAGATAAGCCCCGCAGAATCTGTCCTGACGCAACTCCGACGAGCGAAGACGGCCACGGTCAGTGTGGGGCCAGTCCTCTTCACGTTTTGTTAACAAGCCCAGCTTGAAGAAGTTGGATTTCGTTTTAGCCGTTGAATCTGGACCACCGTCCTCGCCTGCCGCTGCCTTCTCCATCGCTTCGTCCCAGACTTCCTGACAAGTTCTTTCCATGGCCTTCGCAGAAGCCTTCTGCATATATTGCAGCTTGACACCGTACCCGGCGCCAACGAAGGCACTCGCAACCACGAGTTGCAGAAACTTTTTTGAAAGTGGACGAGCCATCTTGCTTGGTTGAGACACTAACTGTGTTGATGTAAAAAGATTCGCCAAACTTCTGAACCTCCTACAAGAAGGAAGTGCCAACGCTTACACACATAAAAATTCGAGCTTCGTCGAATCTTATATTATATCCAAACTTAGTTACAATTCTTGTATATGAGTATGTTGATGTTCCTTATCCTTCCCTGCGAAACCGAACACGTAATAAAACCTAATTTCTTTTTACTGTTGTGTAATTCAAAATAATAGAAGATATCTTCTACTTGTAGTTGTGCCGAGAACTAGGCAAACGCGGTTAAGATCCAGATCCTCTTCTACAGTGTAAAACTTGGGGATTCAAAGCCTCTTTTCTCTGTGTAAAGAATTATGGACGGGGTAAGTAAAACATTTTACCGGGGTCCAGATGAATTAGCTCAGACTCAGACGGGCGGGGTAAGTAAAACATTTTATCCAGTTCCAGATGAATTAGATCAACAGACTCAGTAGACAGAATCTTCTTCAAGTTCAAGGTCGCTCGAATGATAAAACAGAACTAGCTTCTCTCAGAGTCAAACAGAAGTAGGTCGTCCCTCAAATGATCACACGGACTATTTTTTAGGGCTCTCAAAAATGAGGTCGTCTCTCTGGCGAGTACGGCACTCAGGAGAGACAGACGGCAAGCATGTGCTCAGTAGAGCTCCCGAAAACGCGTGATGAAGCACTCTCCTGTGGCATGCGCCAACCAACTAAATGCCACGGCTTCATCTTGTGACAAGATGAAGACGTGGCATTTGCTAAGATATCTTCAGCAAGGCGACCGCAAGAACCAAATTAAATATTCGTGTTCGTCCGCATTGAAAAACAAAAATATAGCCCCAAAGAGACACTCCTAAACAAAACTTGCTTTGTTTTGTACTTTGACGAATACAGACCAGCCCTCAACAGCTTTTGATGCTTCATTCACTCTACCGCGATCTACTTGCTGTAAATTTTTGGTACACTTTCATTTTTTTTTGACCTCTCTCAAATATTTTCGCCCTTCACCTGATGGCGGTCGCTCTTGACGAAACACCAGTGATGAAGATGATTGAAGAAGAAGAACAGGTGTGAGCAATAACAAGTTGCACCAGCGCCCTATTCTGAGTTTCTATGCTGTATCACATCTTTTTCAGCCTCATTACCAAGAACTAAGTTCTTGAAACTGATCTTCGCTAAGGGTCTCTTGTGCAGCTGCACCTAGAAGATCCTCGAAGTAGGAATGAGCTACATAGTCATCAACAGGTAATGCTGAGGTGCATCTATTCAAAAGCGCCACGCCGAATAAGCGCTGTAGTATTGAAAAAGTGTTTTTTAAAAAACCAGAAAACTACAACAAGGGAAAGGGTAAGAG